CAAGGGCCAAGCTCCCAATCGGGTAACTCCGTGGATAGCCCCGGGCCTTCCCCACGCGCAAGTGGGTCTTCGGTGTGCCTTCCGGCAAGCCTCTCCTGGACCGCTTCCGCCGTCTTCACTATCAAGCTTTCGGCCGAACCGCTGCGGACATTGTTCCCTTCGGTACACGGTGGCGGCCACACCACAACCGCGGTTGGTGTGATCTCGCAAAACTACAAGCCCCTCCGATGTACAACAATGGTGCGCGCAAGCGCCGAGTGGTAAGAGGTATGCAAACCTCACTAAACACTAGGCCTAAACCTAGAGCAAGTACATAAGCGGTGGTCTAATCAACCTAAGCACTTCGCAAAGCACCTACGCTAATCACCTAATGAATCACTAAGCACTATGCAAGTGGACATCACTAAAATGGTGTATCAACACCCTTGGTATGTTTTCTCAGCTCCACCGTACTCAAATGGCGGGTTGAGGGGTCTATTTATAAGCCCCACTGAGAAAGTAGCCATTGGGGGGCGAAACCCAGCTTTCTGCTACTGACCGGACGTTGATCATGTCCTAATCGGACGCATCCGGTCGTCCCGACCGTTGGAGCGCGCGCTGTAAGGAAAATGGACCATTGACCCATTTACTTTGGATTTTGGTGTTTGATGACCAACACAACCAAATTGAACTAATGAATTTGCAAGTGTTTGTTTTGTAGTCCAATAGGGTGCAAGACGTGACTTGGACGAAGGCGACATGATGATCTGATGATCAACACCTCAAGCAAGACCTTAGAAGCACAAGAAAAGACCCAAGATGTCAAGCAAAGTCCAAGCATGAAGATAGGAACCAAGCCGTATGCAAGATCGCGAAGAAACAAACTCGCGAGAGGCCCACCGGACGCCGGGACCGACGCCGGAAGCGTGACCGAGACGCTGAAGCCTTGACCGACGCCGGACCGGTGGCTCGGCGAGATAAGCGACCGGACGCAAGGACCGGACGGCTGGCGAAACCGACCGGACGCAGGAACGTAAGCGTCCGATCGAATCTGAAGAGGTTCCAGCGCTTGAATCTGCGACCGGACGCGTCCGATGGCGACGACGACCGGCAGCAGCGGCGTCCGATCGGTGGTTCGCGATTTACAGCGATCGGAACGACGGGACGGCGTCCGTCAGGGCGATTCAATACGTCCGGTCGATGGCAGATTCGGGGAGTTCGACCCCAACGGCTACTTTCTCGATGGGGCTTATAAATACAACCCCCAACCGGCCATTTGAGGGTGTGGAGCCGAGAAACATATCAAGAGTGTTGATACACCATTTGAGTGATCTCCACATGCATAGTGCTTAGTGTTTTATTAGGTGATTAGCATAAGTGCTTTGCGGTGCTTAGGTTGATTAGACCACCGCTTATGCGCTTGCTCTAGGTGTTTGCCTAGTGTTTAAGTGAGGTTTGCATACCTCTTGCCACCCGTGCTTGTGAGCACAAGTGTTGTACATCGGAGGGGCTTGAAGTCTTGCGAGATCACACCAACCGCGTTTGTGGTGTGGCCGCCACCGTGTACCGGAGGAACAAGGCCCCATGCGTTTGGCCGGAAGCTTGATAGTGAAGACGGCGGGAGCATCCGGGAGAGGCTTGCCGAGAGGCACATCGGAGACCCACTTGCGGCGTGGGGAAGACCGAGGCTATCCACGGAGTTACCCGACCGGGAGCTTGGCCCTTGCGAGGGATTCCTTGCGAGGGGCTCCAACGAGGACTAGGGGGAAGCTTGCGCGCTTCTCGATACCTCGGTAAAAATACCGGAGTCGTCGACGGGAGTTTGCATATCTCTACCTTGCTCTTTAAGCTTCCGCATTTACATTGATCATATTATTATCATTTGCGGTAGAGATAGCAACACACTAGCAAAACCGTAGTTGCACATCTAGATAGATTATCTTTTGCATAGGTTTTTGCTAGAGGTAGAAAAAGAGGCCATAGCTTAGAATTAGATTTTTAAGTTGCCTAATTCAACCCCCCCCCCTCTTAGGCGTCCACGTGTCCTACACGCGCGTTGATCGGACTCGGCTCAGAGTCCGGTCATCATCGACCGGATGCATCTGGTTGCGCTGGCGTCGCTCTAGAACCTCTCTGTACTCGATCGGACGCTGCACTTCGTGCGTCCGGTCATCCAGTCTGCTACGTCCGGAAACGCTGAAAACACTGTCGTGACGATGAACAGTGTCACCGGTGCGTTCGGTCACTGCGTCGCTCAGCGTCCGGTCACTGCTGCTCAGCGTCTGGTCACAGCTGCCGATGCCTGGCACCCGATCAGACACGGCCAGTCACTCATAGGGCCGCGTCCGGTCACCTCTGTCGGGCTCGTTTCTTCGCGATCTTGCGTCCGACTTGGTTCCAATCTTCGTGCTTGGACTTTGCTTGACCTTGTATGTCTTCTATGCATCTTCACGTTTTTCTTGAGGTGTTGATCATTAGATCATCACGTCACCTTCGTCCAAGTTACGTTTTGCATCCTATTAAACTACAAAACAATTACTTGCAAATTCATTAGTCCAATTTGGTTGTGTTGCAAATCCATTAGTCCAATTTGGTTGTGTTGGTCATCAAACCCCAAAATCCAAAGTAAATGGGCCTAAGATCCATTTTCCTTACACGCCCGAACCAGTATAAATCCTTGTGTCCTCCGAGCACACCATCCGAGACAGATGCGCAAATACAAATTTACTCGTCGGTGGTCCGAAAACACCGACACCCGGCGTCGTTGTCCAACCTATCATCATTGAGTATTCTTGATCTCAGGTTCAACCTGCTCGAGGGTAATATCCCGAATAGCATTGGCGTCCTCAAGGACCTCTGGTATCTTAATCTCGGCTTCAACAATCTCTCTGGCGAGTCCCCAATATCCCTTTACAATGTCTTCCTGTAAAGTTGCAGATTCAATGGAACATGATCAGTGGTAGCATTCCTACAGTTATTGGCAGCAGGTTCCCCAGCATGCAAATCCTTGACTTTGAGGAAAACCAATTCACTGGGCCAATCCCTCCTTCATTCTCTAACCTCACATCAGTCCAGGTACTCTTCCTCACACAAAATATGTTCAGTGGATATGTGCCTCGCACCATGGGGAAACTACAAGCTCTGCAATAGATACACTTGTTCAACAACGCGTTAGAAGCCAACGATGGGGAGGGTTGGGAATTTGTCACTTCTTTGTCAAACTGCAGCCAGCTCCAACAATTAGATATCTCCAACAACGCCGCTTTCACTGGACAGCTACCAAGCTCAATAGTGAATCTCTCGACAACCCTGCATGGCCTCCGCTTGTACAACACTGGAATTTGGGGAAGCATCCCCTCCGCGATCGACAATCTGGTGGGCCTTGATATCCTTGCTATTTTTAATACTTCTATATCTGGAAAAATTCCAGATAGCATCAGCAAACTAGGAAACTTGACTATGCTTGGTTTATTCAATACTAACTTGTTAGGACAAATACCTTCATCTATTGGAGATCTCCCAAAGTTAGTTGTCCTTGATGCACATTTTTGCAACCTTAGAGGGACCAATTCCACCAAGCATAGGGAAGCTGAAGAGTATACTTTCCCTTGATTTGTCACTGAACCACCTAAACGGCTAAATTCCCAGAGAGATTTTTGAATTACAACTTCTTACTTTAGGTTCCTTAGATTTTTCATACAATTCACTATCAGGACCTCTACCCTCTGAAGTTGGTAGCTTAAGAAACCTTAACAAACTGATTTTATCAGGAAACCAATTATCTGGTGAGATACCTGAAAGTGTTGGAACGTGCACCGTGCTGCAAGAACTTAGGTTGGACAATAACTTATTTATCGGAAGCATACCACAACATCTAAACAAGGCTCTAACTACACTCAACCTGTCAATGAATCAATTATCTGGTTCGATTCCTGATGCCATTGGAAGTATTCTTGGTCTGGAACAATTGTGCCTCACACACAACAATTTGTCAGGACAAATCCCTACAGTTCTGCAGAATTTGACATCATTGTGGAAGTTGGATTTGTCCTACAATGATCTGCAAGGGGAAGTGCCAAAAGATGGGGTTTTCAGCAATTTGGCAAATATATCAATCGCAGGAAATAACAAGCTTTGTGGAGGCATACCCCAGTTTCATTTAGTTCCATGCAAGACAGATTCTGTGAAAAAGAACAGAAGAGGGAAGTCGAAGTATCTTAAAATAGCACTAGCAAAAACCTTTGCACTCTTACTATTAGCTGTTGTCATTGCACTCTTGATCTACAAGAAGCAAAGAAGAAAGCAGAAGGGTGCATTCGAACCACCAATGGTTGAGGAACAGTACGAAAGAGTTTCTTACCATGCATTATCAAACGGAACCAATGGATTCTCCGAAGCCAATTTGCTTGGTAAAGGGTCATTGGGACAGTCTATAAATGCGTTTTTCAAGCTGAGGGAACTGTTGTAGCCGTAAAGGTTTTTGACCTTCAACAATTGGGCTCTACTAAAAGTTTTGTAGCCGAATGTGAGGCACTGAGAAGGGGGGTGCGTCACCGCTGCCTCATGAAGATCATCACATGCTGCTCAAGCATCAATGAACAAGGTCAGGATTTCAAGGCATTGGTTTTTGACTTCATGCCAAATGGTAGCTTGAATAGTTGGCTCCATATAGAATCTGGCATGCCCACTTTGAACAATACTCTTAGCCTCGATATCGTTGTCGATATCATGGATGCTCTGGATTATCTTCATAACCACTGCCAGCCACCAATCATCCACTGTGATCTCAAACCAAGCAACATCCTTCTTGCAGAAGAAATGAGTGCCCGAGTTGGAGATTTTGGCATATCTAGAATCATTTCAGAATGTGAAAATATAATTCTGCAAAATTCCAATAGCACAATTGGCATAAGAGGCTATGTTGCTCCTGGTAAATGCTATGTTTTTTTTTCTTTATTCCAAATCCTTCTATAAATATGGCATGCTAATCAATACTTCCTTTTTCTTTTACATAATAATAGAGTATGGTGAAGGTTCTTCCATCACAACTTTTGGCGATGTTTATAGCCTTGGCATATTGCTGCTCGAGGTTTTCACTGGGAGGAGCCCAACAGATGATATATTTAGAGGTTCAATGGATCTACATAAGTTTTCAGAGGATGCTCTTCCAGATAACATCTGGGAGATAGCCGATAAGACAATGTGGCTGCACACTAGCACCTATGACAGCAATACAAGAAACATGATTGAGAAATGTTTGGTTCATGTCATTGCTCTTGGGGTATCCTGCTCAAGAAAACAACCTAGATAGAGTAAACTGATACAAGATGCGGTCAATGAGATGCATGCTATCAGAGATTCATACCTCAAGTTTGCTAGACATCTTGTGGTGGAAGATGGAGCTGGAATGATTTTGCAGTAATTTTCAAACAACAGTGAATAAGTAGAGTTGAAAATGGACAAGCTGCTTATGATACTTCGACTCTATTATTCCATCATTAAAATATTTCCAGGTGGTCATTACATTAAATACATGCAGATATGTATGATGCTTTGACTCTATTATTTTGTCCCTAGACATCTGGATTTTTTAAGTTCAGATTTATGCAAGTAGATTGGTTATGTGAAATGCAAGGAACAGTACATAAATCAAATAAGAGAACTGTTTGTTTCCCTGTAGCTTGTTCGATGATACAGTTTAACACAAAATCAATTATTTTGCACATCTCATCGGCTGTAGGGGCGTTCTGAGATCTAGACAGTTGAGAAGGTACACAGCATTGGCATGTTATTGCTTGGTATATTCACATTCAACATTACAAAGAGTAGATCAAGTATATGCTCTGAGAACATTCAACATTGTTATTTAAACAATCTCCCTATATGTGGAGTCAAAGAATGTCAGTATGATGCTTTCAATAAAAGCAGAGGTAAACTCTTTTTTTTAAAAAAAAAAAAAGAGAATGTCACTATGAAGAGTCGATCAAGGATTTTGTTTCTTTATTTGAGGATTTATGCCTTCAAGCTTGCCATGTTCTGCTCAAAACATATCCCAGGAACTGAATGATGGTGAGAGATGCACGACATCAGAGGTTCATACCTCGTGTTTCCCTGTTAGCTACAGAAGACGCCAACAGCAGACATTTGCTCGAGCAATGATCACAACTGAAGGTGGATTAGGAAATGTTGCCACCTGAAATAATTGAAGACATATATACTGTCAGAACTGAAGTTTCTCTCTCTTTTGGATCTGTAATTTTTTTTCAAGTGAAAAAGGGAAAACAAATGCATGGAGATTGACCTTCTTAAGATATTAGTAAATTTTTGAACCTCAACAGCAGTGGGCATATATCATCATTCATTCACTTTACTCCACATCCTCATTTCAATCATGTATAAAAATACGATGAATGACTGGCTTGAATCACAAGGCAACTGGTTCAGAATAACCATCTGGAACAAAAGAAAAAATAAGTTTTCACAGAAATTCAACCAAGCAGGCCAGCTCAAACTTACTATGTCCATATGGCAGTCACCAGTCAGGGGCAGAGCAGTGGAAAATGTAGGAATTTGAATTTTGAAACCTTCCGATTGGTTTTGCTGATTTGCTTGCCGAGCATCCATTTATTTATCCAAGTGAGATTGATTTTTCATTCACAGTTTCACTTGTGCTGCTTCTTACAGATAAATAAAATGAAGCGCCACAACCACCAACAGCACTGAACAGCCACAACAGGTACGAGAGAACAGAAGGAGGCAGACCTATGAGGAAGTGAACTTGGTGACGATCTTGGTGCTTCGGAGACGGCGTGATTGGCGAGCACGCTAGGGACGACGAGGCGGACAGAGGTCGGGAGTACCGCGAATGCGCGGCCTCCGCGCCGCGGGCAGCAGCTTCTCCATGATGGGCCTGCTATTGAGGGAGCTCGGGATGGACAGAGCCTTGGAGGAGATGCAATGTGTGAGCTTCTTCTTCCCCGCTCGGTCTTTCTTCACCCCCTCACCGGCTCGCGCCGCTGCTATCGGCCGCGGGGATCCGCTTCTCCGCCGCCCCCCGAGCCGGACCTCCTCGGTGGGCTTTCTTGACAGGGAGTTCAGTGTTGGCATGTTTGCTTTGTGCTCTGTTGAGCCCAAGCCCAACCCAAAAGGAGTTAGTTTTCCCTTTTTTGCTTTGTGCTCTGTTGAGCCCAAGCCCAACCCAAAAGGAGTTACTTTTCCCTTTTCCGACACATCGCGCGCGACTACAAGCGGCGGCGTTCGTCTGCCTCCGTTGCAGGCCCGGCCCTGGATGCGGGCAAGCGGGGCGGCCGCCCTGGGCCCCCAACTAGGTAGGGGCCCACCCCAAGTATGCAAACACCAGGTATATTAGTGTTTGGCCTAGTACTGAACGTTGCCAGCCTGCAAGTCCTCCCGTCCGTGAGAAGGATGGTGTCCGTATTAAAAAAACAGAAAGAAAGAACTAGCGTCCGCGAGAAGCCACACGCACACGCCGACACGCGACTCGACTCCTCGACTCCTCTTCCGCGGTGAAGCGACGCGCGACCTGTGGCGGCGGCGGCAAAGCAATGAGCAGCGACCATCGCTATGACGTGAGACACGGTGCGCGATGATTGCTGCATGCTGAGCGGCAGCGGCGGAGACCGCGAGACGTTGGACTCGACGCCACGCGACGCACGCGCTGCGATCTCCGTGACTCCGCCCGACCCAGACGAGCGACGACGAATCGACGATCGGCGGTGAGCCACACGCCCACACTGAGCCAGCAACGCACCAACGCGAGTAGATGATGTACTTTTTTTAGCTAATTGTTTCTCTAAATCTTAACAGCATCATGTCATCAAGAAAGTATGCTTCCGGCAGTGAGAAAAGGAAAAAAAATGCACGAATAGATGAGTTCATACAATCATAGAGGGGTTCTATGCATAAGTTTTTGAAGAATAATCCAAACACTTCAAGGGATCCAAACGAGTTGGCGATAGTTGTCTGGAAGGAACCAACACAGATTATTCCAGAAGATGAAGGTCCTCCTGATGACAATATTGGCATTAACATGGAAGAAAACAATGTGAGTATTTATGGGCATGTATTTAATTCAAATACTATAGGAAATAGTAGTCTTGATGAGGAACCAGTGTGTCACATGGATATTTATGATCCAAGAAATTGGGATAATCTTGATAACAGAGCAAGGGATATATTAGTTGAAAAGGGGCCTATAAGAAAAGATAATATTGTATTCCCTTTCGACGATAATTTAAGGCATTTTGCATATTCTCATTATCATAGAAAAATGAGTAATGGAGAGCTATGTGATAGGAAATGGTTAGTTTATTCCAAACACTTGGATAAAGTATTTTGCTTTGCTATAAGCTTTTTAATTATAAAAAATGCAAGAGTTCATTGGGGAATGATGGGTATAGAGACTGGAAACATATCAATGAGAGGCTGAAGGAACATGAAATTACTGATGAGCATATTACCAATATGAACTCATGGAATGAATTGAGAACTAGATTAGGCAAACAAGAGACAATTGATAAAGAGTTACAGCAGCAAATCTCCAAGGAGAAAGAGCACATAAGGCAAGTACTGATGAGAATAGTTGCCATTGTAAAATTCCTTAGTAGACATAATTTGGCTTTTAGAGGATCTAATGAGCAGCTTTATAATGACCAAAATGGTAATTTCTTAGCTTGTGTTGAGATGGTCGCAGAGTTTGATTTGGTAATGCAAGACCATCTTAGACGTATTCAAAATAATGATCTTCATTATCATTATCTTAGCCACAAAATTCTATCATCAAGATTGTTAAAGAGGTCAAATATTTCTCTTATTCTTGATTGCACCCCAGATGTTAGTCATCAAGAACAAATGACTTTGTTGGTTCGATGTGTTAATATGAGTGAAGGTAAAATTAAAATAGAGTACTTTCTTGGTTTCCTGAAGGTAGAAGACACATCTGGTTCTGGGCTCTTCGATGTTTTGGTTGATTCCATTAAGTCCTTTGGTCTTAATATTGATGACATTAGGGGACAAGGTTATGATAATGGTTCTAATATGAAAGGAAAATACAAGGGGGTTCAAAGTCGATTGCGTGATATAAATCCAAGAGCTTTGTATATGCCATGTGCTTGCCACAGTCTTAATCTTACTCTTTGTGATATGGCTAAGTCTTGTAGCAAAACTGACTCCTTTTTTGGAATTGTGCAACGGATATATGCCTTATTTGCTGGTTCTACTAAAAGATGGAAATTTTTGCTTGATCATGTTGATAGTTTAACTGTGAAATCTTTGTGCAACACACGTTGGAAGAGTCGTATTAAAAGTGTTGCAGCAATTAGATATCAAGCTCCTCAGCTAAGGGCAGCTTTACTTGCATTGAGTGAAGATAGAGATGTAGAACCAAAGGATAGAAGTGATGCAAAGAATTTATTTGAAGTACTTGGCAGCTTTGAATTTATATTTGGCATGGTTATTTGGCATGATGTTTTATTTGTTGTCAATAAAGTAAGCAAGAAGTTGCAGCCACCATCTATGTGCATTGAGTCTACCATACAACAGATACAAGGCATAATGGATTGCTTTAAAACCTATAGAAATGATGGGTATGCTTCTAGTAAGGTCAATGCAACGGAAATTGCATCTGAAATGGGTGTCGAGCCATCGTTTCCAGTAAAGCGCTGTGCTCTTAGAAAGAAGCATTTTGATGAAAATAATAGTGAGGAAACACTCTTGGAAGGTGAGAAGAAATTTAAAGTTAGTTGCTTCGCGGTTATAATTGATATGGCAGTCCGTTCATTGGAGACTAGATTTCAAGAATTGAATTCATTCAGAGAATTATTTGGATTTTTAATGAGTTCAGCAAACTTGAAGGCATTGGATGGTCCTGAGCTAAAAGTGTGTTGCACAACACTAGCAGCAGTTTTCTCTCTAAATGGTTCATCTGACATTGATTTAAATGATCTAATTTTTGAGTTGAGTGTTCTACAATTCACTTTGCCGGATACACCAATGACAGCTATGGAGATTTTTGAGTTTGTTACAAAGGCTGATTATTATCCTAATGCTTCCATTGCTTATCGGATCTTGTTTACTATGCCTGTGACTGTGGCATTAGCTAAAAGAAGCTTCTCAAAACTAAAATTATTGAAGAACTATTTGAGATCTACAATGTCTCAAGAGTGGTTAATTGGTTTGGCAACATTATGCATTGAGAAGCGATTGTTGGATGAGATCGATATTGATACCATCATCAATGACTTCGCATCGAGGAATGTTACAAGGAATTTTTAAGGTAATTTAATATAGAAA